CTCTTTAAAGATGATGATAAATCTTTTATTTTTGTTTGATAAAAAATTTAAATTTGAAGTTAACTTTAAAAGGGGTGGGGACTAAGTTTCTGGGCAATGACCTCCACGCCACCCCCGTCCGGTTTACCCAGTTAGGCAGATAATCCACGCTCCGTTCGAGGAGAGGCCGGCGGGTATTGTTTGTCATCCCTAATCCGATTATTGATTATAACCAAATAATCAAATTCTAGTTTGGTTGCAAAATTATATATATATATATATTTTTTTTTATCATAATTTATACGAACCTACTTGTAGTTAGAATAATCTACACCTAGTAGCATGAAATTGAAAGCATGGAGATGTAACAAGAAATTTACACAAAATTTTATACTTCACAATTTCATTTCGAAGCATAAAAGAATCAGACTAGATCAAATCATAACTCAATTTTTTACAAGTTGGTTCTCTTTTTGCCAAATAAACAAATACTAGTTCAGTTCAATTCCCAATAAACTCGAATAAACCTCTTGGTGCTCATCTTATACTACTGGACATTTGTAAAGCTCACTTGTAAGAGCAGGAGAACAGCTACGTATAGTATATAATGAGAATTTGGAGCTTGTGTTTTAGTATTTTGTATTCTTCTCCCTCTTTTTTTTTTTTTATTTTTTTTTTTTTTCAATAGTATAAAATCACTTTGTTTTTTTCAAATAGTTGCCTCTTAGTGATATCCCCGAGAATGAACATAGTTAAGGAATATTAGAGACGTGTAAAAACTCTATATATGGTATCTTGTTTATAGTGACTTAAACATATTAACCCAATGTCATAGTCTTGAAATTTCTTCAAATTGTCTTTTTTTTTTTTTTGCCTTTGAGTTTGCATATCAAAATTCACCATTTTCAATGTTGTTTTCATGACAAATTAGTTGTTTTGGACCATGACCTCAATTTTCTGATTTGATTTCTTTATAGGTTGCTTTCTTGTGGAAATAGATTAGTCTTTGTCATGAAAACTTTAAATAAGAATTATGAATTTTTAGCTAAAGAATGTGGTAGTTTAAATGTCTCTAATCCATGATGATATAGACAAATCAAATAAATTTACTAGACTAATGAGTTTTTCCCTTTTTCTTTAACCGGGTCCACACGCAAGGACATGAACAAATTAGAAGATTGATCATTGTAATTGAAAATTCATCATAACCTACTAACACGGACATCATATGGAATTGTCGTAAAATGACTTACGAGCCAGTATAGTCTTTCTTGGTCGAGCATAGATTTTTCTATTTTCCACATTTAGAATCCATATTTTTTTCCATTTTTTGTGTCCCTTCATCTTTCATCCTTACAACTTTTTCAATTCTTGCTATTGTGAGCTCACGAGTCTTGCAAACTGTCAATTAAAAAATCTCTCCTCTTACTTACGGACAATTTGTTGATAGATATCACTTAGGACTATACGAAAAATAACGAAGAAACGCTTTTTAGAGTATATAAACATGAGTTACAAATAAGAAGTAATTCATTATTTTCATGATTTTTTTTTTCTTAATGAAATTCACTTTTCTAACTACTAAATTAACTCCTTAATTATTAAACACTTGCTTTATGGACTCTTCTTATGATGTTAAATTATTATAAGGGATCACAATGATTGGTAGATTTAAACTTAGCATCAATTTTGTTATTATTTCTTTTTTTCATATGCTTTTTCTGGAACAAATACTATATGCCATTGTTTGATGAAAACTAAAATTAGATTTTAATAAAAATTGATAAAATGTGTAGTTCAAAAGATATGGATTCTATAAAATATGTGGTTAAAATTAATTTTTTACTTTAACTTATATTAAAATTTATAATTTAATTTCTATCAAACAAGGGCTACAATTATTAAATTCTTGATATTTAACTTGGTTTTGGGAAGCGCATATCAAAAAAATATATAAGAATTAATAGTCTACAAGCCTGTCCTTGAGAATGAAGTTGAACAATATCCAACGATGCTAGTGCAATCAAAAGAATGGTTCGAGTACCTTAAGCGCATTACGGATTTGAGTTCTTGACCAGTTCATTCGCACCATGGGTGAACACACCTGGGGTCATGTGACCATACAAAATTTTTGTTTTTTCCTTTTAGAAAATTGTTGTTTTGATCTTTTTATGATCTACGTTGACACATTCATTACGAGATGTCAAATGAAATAAAAAATTGCATTCTTAATACCATTTCGAAGTGTTCACGCATAGCCTATTTTTTCGTTCGTTAATGGCGTATGAAACGGTTAAGCGTAACAAAAGTTACAACACACCAAAATAGGTCATTCCAAACTAGTGTATCGAGATTTTTGGGATTATGCTAACCTTCAAAATTCGCCAGTAATCGTATATTATTTGAATCCATAAATTGCATGTCATCTAGAAGCTCGTTTCGAAAACTATTTTGTAGTCGTATTGAATGATCCAAAAAAAATATTTAAAAAAGTTAAATATGTTTTCAATGTACGCCTTAAAAGAAGCGTCAAACTCGTATTTTCTTTAAAAAAATTCAATTATTTCATTAAAGTTTATTATTTTTGGGATTATGCTAACCTTCAAAATTCGCCAGTAATCGTATATTATTTGAATCCACAAAAAAAATTTCATTATAATTTCCATTATTTTATTAAAAAATTTTACTTGGAATATGACGCTAAAAATTTTAAAATTGTTATGAATTAAATACAATTTAAATTACTGTCCCATTAAAATTATATTTTATTTCAATTCATTTGCTTCCTAAATACAATTTGATTTACTCTCCGTCAGCTCAACATATGTCAACGAAATGATAAACAAAACTATAAAAGTAGCAAAATCAATTTAATAATATTGACGATGATATAATTATAAAACATTTTCAAAATATCTCATAAATTCAATTTGATTTACTCGTCCTCAACTCATCATATGTCAACGAAATGATAAACAAAACTATAAAAGTAACAAAATTCATTTAATAATATTGATAATGATATAATTATAAGATGTTTTCAAAGTATCAAAATGCATATTAACTTATTTTCATTAATATTACGTTATTTATAAATAAATAAAAATTACACTTTCATTTTTGACCCTAAAAACATAAAAGATCTAGGTTCACCCTTGATCCCACCAGTAGTAGGAGATGTAAGGATTGATACCTAAAATAACTTTTTATTTGATTGGTAAAACAAGGTTTGAAGGCTTTTTTTTAAAATACACTTTAATTTTTGAAATCACAACACAAAAGTTTGGATCCGCCACTAATTTGCACTTAGGGTGTGTTTGATTACATTTATTTTTCATGAAAAATATCAGTTTTTCACCCAAATTCCTACTTAGAATGATTAATTGCTATTTTTTTCCATAGAAAACATTTTCCAACTTTGAAAAATATGCTTAATTTTCCTTGTTTTTAAGGAAAATATTTTCTTTGGGTAGAGGTGGTTTTTATTTTTCACAAAAGATGGAAAATATTTTCTTTTTTATATGATATTTTTCATGCCAATCAAACACACTCTTATTGTTAATTCTTAACGTGTTTATGTTTGATGAAAAGTTTAGTTTGGGTCTACGGTTTCTTAATTTTTATGGTTAGATAAGCTTTGCGACGGAAGGAAATAAGCAAAATAGCATCAATATTAGAGTAACCGAATTCAATAAAGATATACATGGATCTGTTCTTTAACGAAGTCTTCTCGAACCTAATGGCACATGCGAATTGAACTAACGAAAGTCTAAACATACCCAACCCGGTCCCGCTGCGGCTCTCTCGTATCGTTTTGTCAATACTACAGAAACGACACGTATGTAAAAGTTAGTTATGGGAGAAGGAAAATTGCATTTGTCATTTTGTCGCAATAAAGGTGGCATCCCATGTAACATTACCTCTCTCCGTTAGTTCGGTTTATCGCCGTTTGATCAGAAGGACTTACCGACAGTTATATGTCTTGACTTTTACACTCGATTTTTTCGAATTGGACAATTCTTAAGTCCAAGAAAGTTGCAGACCTTTTGCTTTAACAACGTCTCGAGTAAAACTTTTTCTTAAACCACTTTTTCTTAGTATTTTTTTCTAGGTGTGCTTAAAAAATAAGAAAAATTTTTGGATGTACGTGTAAAATATTTTATTGTGTGAATATATATTTAAAAATGAGCATGAAAAATAAATTAAAGTCAAGTAAATGGAATTAAACAGAGGTTAAATATATTTGAACAAGTTTTTCATAAGAGTAATGCTATTCGTAGTTGCTCACTGCGACAATCGCCCTACGGAGCATACATATGGCAGGTGATTATTTGATACATTAATATGGTAATTTTTTATTCATTAATATATCTAATAACCACCTTCCATGTGTATGTCACGTAGGGCGATTGCTGTAGTGAGCAACTGCAAATAACATTATTCTTTTCATAATGTGATGACATTTTCACGTTCTTCGTAGAGTCTTGATATTTGATAACACAGTAGATCTCAACTCGTGCGCTATGTAACAATTGGCACACTTAGCCCTTGTTTGGTTTGAATAAATATTAGTTTTTTATTAATTTTTTGATAAAAGTTGATTATAAAAGCATAATTGAAAATTTTCTAAAAGTAGTGAGCTCATAAAATGTATAGTTGAAAATAATTTTAGAAAAAATGAATTCAAGAAATAAGGCCAAATAGGGGCTTAATATTTTTTTGGGACACATAATTTTTTAACCATACGTTTTATTAACTTTATCAAATTCTATTAAAAATTAAAATCTTTACCTAAACCAATCATTAGGGTAGTTGATATTTCCTTTGTTCCGTTAGATTTTTTCGGCTTACAGTCATAATTTCTCACAACTTTTACCAAAAAGATAAAAGAAAATAAATTCTTTTGACAATATACAGGTTAATACATAGCCACCAATTTAATTAATTGGTAACCTGTAAACCAATGAATATCAAACATAATGGGCCATTCCCCGCTCCTTTGCCTATATATATCCTAATCTTTGTGCAAAGATTTAGCAAGAAACACCCCTCGAACTCCATACATACTCAAGTCCTTGTTTCACATATTTTTCTACTCTTAACAATGAAGTGCAGTGACACAATATTAACATCATCGTCTATTTCGCCTTCCCATCCTCGACAAACTCTAGTGATGAGCCCTTGTGCTGCTTGCAAGATTTTACGCCGAAGATGCGTTGAAAAATGTGTTTTGGCACCTTATTTTCCTCCGAACGATCCAGTTAAATTCACCACTGCTCATCGTGTGTTTGGTGCGAGCAATATAATCAAGTTCTTGCAGGTAATGCTTATAAGCTACATAGCTTTTTGTTCTTTATATCAAAGCTTCTATACTGCTTTCTTATTTGTTACAACGTATATGCGAGTAATCTTATTATTTCATTTGCTTAATGTTTGGATGCGGCAGGCTCGTCTGCTAGTCAACTTGGTGTTGATTTGCAGACATTTTTAATTTGTGTAAATGCAAAGGAGAGCAACGGGAGACAAAATTGAGAATTATGTACCGAAAAAAAAAAAGAAGAAGAAAAAGTTTTGATTGAGAATTGAAAAAAAGTAAGAGAGTTCACACGGGTGGTTGAAACTTTGAAAGTAACTCGTATATTTGACCAAATTTTTGTTTTCAAACATGGATTAGATTTAGTTACAATTTTTTTTTTTACTTCCCCTTCCGAAGTGAAAGAGAGATATTAAGACCCAAAAGTTACTTTTCATCTCGTTTTGGTTAATTTTATAATCGTTAGAATGAAACTGATCCGATATGTTTTTTACATGAATCGTGATTAGTCATAATTTTATGTATAGTCTAATATAACCAAACATCTTATAAAATGATTACGGCAGCTTATAATTTCCGATAAATGAACAAGTACTTGAATTTCCAGGAATTGCCCGAGTCCCAAAGAGCCGATGCAGTGAGTACCATGGTTTACGAAGCGAACGCCAGGCTGAGGGATCCTGTATACGGATGTGCCGGGGCAATTTGCCAACTCCAAAAGCAAGTAAATGAGCTCCAAGAACAATTAGCAAAAGCTAAAGCAGAAATTGTGAACATGCACTGCCAACAAACAAATCTTATGGCACTTATTTGGATGGAAATGGCACAATCTTCACCAATATCTCCATCAGAACAATCCTTGGACAACATCATGAACTTCCAAGATGAAAACAACCCAGAATACTTATGGGAACAACCCCTTTGGACATGATCATATATATCTCCATATCGTTCCAATAAATTCAAAGATAATCGGCCGAACCTATATTTTTACTAGTATGTAACCCAAAACTTTAGAATTCGATGTTTAAAATTTTAAAATTTTCTTGGCTAATTTAATTGCCTAATTTAAGGAATAAGTATACGATGTGAAATGATTAAGCTTAGTCTAGCTATTTTTCTAATGATATGAATAAAACACATGAAATTTATGGGTCTTCTTCCCCCATGTTATCTTATCATATCACAAGAAGAAATGTCTTTGTCCAAACGTCCAATCTTGCTTGCTGTTGTTGAAATGTAAAACAACTTTCAGCTCACCTAAGTACCTAACGGTTTTACTTCCATCGATTTTAATCACATCTTTGAGCGATAATATATTACTTTTCACAAAATCTTATTTATTCATCAACTTAGCTTGTTCGATCAATCTTTATGTTTTTTTATTAAATTATTCTTTTAACCTTTTAAAAAATTGAACTTCAATGCTCAATATGGTAAGAAGCAAAAAAGTTTGCAAGAGCCGTTGATCCATCTAAAGATCTAAATGGTAGTTAGATTTCAAGATTGATGTTATGAAACGAGCCAATATTTTATAGGGATATGTTAAGAATAAAAAAAAAATCCCGAATTGAGTACAGATCCAAAATAATGAACAATAATAAGAATTTGGTTAGTCCTTTTAACAAAGTTGAGTTTTTAAGATGAAACCTAAGATCCAATAGCTTTCCACCATATTATTATTACGTACAAGTCAATATGATTTTATTATAAATAAACAAGATTGTCGAAATTTTACTTGATCCTGTTTGAGCCCCATTTTTTGATGAAAATACATTTTGAAAATGTATTTTGTTGAAGAATGCGTGATTAAAAAATAAAGAAAAAATTTGGATTTGTATATAATATTATATTATTGAAGAACGAGTTATTGAAAATAAGAGAGAGAAAAATATATTTTAAAAATAATAGGTATCAAACAAGGAAGAAAGTTTGTCGTAAATGACATGACACAATTTTTTGTTTTAGTATTCCTTTTGAATTAGCACTCATGTTCACTTGCCCACGGTGAAATTTTTTATCCTATCCACTTTAGAAAAAACCTTACATAAAGTTTTTGCACTTGTTTGAGCCCCATTTTTAACCACACATTTCCTATGAATACACTATTTAAAAATTCATTTTATCTCCCAAAATAAGGCTCAAACAAGGGCTCTATATTTGAAGAGAACCTTTTTCTGTCACATCAGCAAGTGAGCAGTTTTGAACTAGAACTATTTATACCAAACATTTGAATTGATATCACATGAAAGAAGCATGATGATGTAAAAGTTGAGACCTGAGAGAATGGTGACAATAACATAAACAAGGAGGTCTTCATGGATAAATCGATAAAATGAATTGTTATTTTAACTTATAGTTTATTTGGCACAAAACTTTCAAAAGAAAAATGATTTTCTTTTTAAAATATTTGATTAAAAATGAAAAAAAAAAAGTTATAAATATCATAAAATATATAAATAAAAATATTTTAAAAAATAATTAAAAAAAATCTTCGATAAACAAGCTTTTAGCCCATGTTTGGTTTAGGTAACAATTTATTAACTCGTAAAAACTTACAACATTTTCTATGAGACCTACAACTTTTTCAACCATATATTTCAATCACCTTCTATAAAAATCTGATTTCTATAAAAATCAAACAGAACATAGCAAATTATTCAACTTGAATTGAACTGAACATTTAAAAAATAAATTTAAACTTAAGTTAATAATAAGAAAATTTCATATTTTTGTCAAAAGATTTACTATACCAAATTAAGTTTGAGCCGTCAAATGTCAATTTGCTCATCGATCAGTTCCTTACCTATAAACAATAAAAGGATTATTTATTAAGACTAAAGTAATATTACTTTTAAAGTAATTTTTTTACTTTATTAACAATAACATATTTACTTATAAGTAATTCTTTAACTCAGTCAAACGTGTTGTTCCCCAGAAAACAAATTACCTTGTACTCAGAGTTCAGGTGTTTGCAAGAGTTTAGTTTTGGAAAAATATATTCACACGCTATTTTTCATTGGTCTCGAACTCATGGCTTCTTCTTAAAGGGAGACTTAAGTTAAATCTTACTTGTTTAATTGGTACTAGCATTCAACTAAAGTACATTAGAGGCGGATATCTCGATCTCGATTCTATGGAAAAGCAAAATATATTGGGGTCCAACTCCCTAGAGACTAGAGTATGGATTCGATAATGACAATCAATAAAAAAAAATTCTACTGGTATGGATTCGATAATGACTTGGATTTGATAAGACTACAATTTCTAGGACTAAACCATGGGCTTTAAGAGACTGCTCCACTAGTGCCAAACTTGGTCCTGTTAACTTGGCCTTGTTAGGCTAATGTAGCTAGTGGACTTTATATTTTCAACTAGAATTAGGCTCTTGTCATTCCATAGTTGAACAACTAGTCTCGAAATTAGAACGTTTCAAATATATTTTATTCCCGTTTGATTCTCATTTTTTTTTATCAAAATACATTTTTCTCTCTCTTCTTTTTAATCACATATTATTCGTTAAAATAGTATTATACGTAAATCAAAAAAATTTCATTATTTTTCATCCGCACATTCTCCATCAATCTATTATTCTAAAATTCATTTTTCGATAAAAATTGGTGTCAAACACCCTCTTTATAAAGGTCTATTGCATGTGAAAATTACAACCAAAAAGAGCTTCGAATGATTTATAGCCCTTATTTCGACTCCATTATTTCAAAATAAATTATTTCAAAACTTATTTTCAATTACACATTCTTACATAAAATGATATTAACTTTTTATTTTTTTTAACCACATATTTTGTTGACCTGACTTTTAGAGGTGACGTGGCTAACAGATCCCAGCTCCCATAGTGCCTACGTAAGTTTTCGTCATGCACAATTGAACAGATCGTTAGAGTGTACGGCCAAGCTCCGATGGTAAAGAGGTGGCCAGAGGCACTTTGACAAACAAGTCATTACAATTAAATATATAATTGAATGTGGGACAGGGAATGCATATATATCAAGGAAAGGAAAGGGCTCAGAACTGGGGATACAACACATAAGATAATAGAGAGAATGATCAAACTAACATTACCCTTGAATGGAGCGAACTAGGAGATTTTATAGTAGAGGATGGTGTATGTGAACCGTTGGATGAAGATGCATGTGGCCTCATCCCCATGGCTAGATTCTCCTGTTGTTGGTGTCAAACAATCGTTCCCAAGCCTACTTCATTAAGTGTAACAACGGTTGTGCAGCTTTAGATTTGCCATGTAAGACTATATTAGACTTGTTGGTTGAGTGGATCAGACTTTTTCAGTAAGTTGTCACATCACCCACTTGCTATAAAATCTTTACACAAAGATCTCCTTTGGGAAGTCTCTGCTAAGCCACTCTGACAACAAGGAGTCGATTGCCACCAATGGGTTCAGCCTACCAATATCAATTTAGATGCAAATGGGCTCAACAGAGATCGACGTGTCATCAACATGTGTCTTTTGCCACGTGTATACCACTGTATCTAAACAAAGTTTTGTCAAACGAAGCGCGACAATAGTCCTTAATTCCATGTATGAATATTTATGTAATACGTGGACTACAAAGTCGAAGTAATAATAAAAATGTTATAAAGTCGGGCCGTTGTTGACGAATGAATTGTGCTAAAAGACATGTCTAATCTGTTTGTTTTTCTGGATCAGCAACTTGACCTATGGTTTTATACGGAGGACATGTAGCATACTAGTCCTCTAAGTCCAAGCATGGTTATTTATATGATGCACGAACTTAAGAGAAAATCAAAATGGGCTTAAATAAGTTCTCGCATAGAGAGCTAGCCGTTGGGAAATGAAGAAGCTAATCGCAAGGCTTAAGAAGCTTTGGGAGAGACCCTTGCATAGAGGGCGATGCTGAATAAGCTTTTAGCAAGACCTTTGCATAGAGGACAAGCCACTGGAAGATGATAAAGTCTAGCGGTTGGAAGATGATGAAGCCTATAGCAAGGCCAAAGAAGCTTCTAACGCGGTCCTTGCATATGGTGAGTCTTTAGGTTCTGTTACGAGATGATATTGATGGGACGCATACACAATGATTTAAACGTCTCACCTTTCCAAGAAAAAAATAGATTGACGTGTTTCATGCTTGGGATACACATGTACGGTTCATTAAATGCGCAATGATGACACTTTACAGTAACCGTTCAAGTGGACGCACTGAAAAGTCGAGTAAAGTACACGGTAAAATCGAGACCTTTGGACCAAATTTGAATTGAAGCCTTTTGGGATTCAATGGTTTGATGAGGAAAACAGATGGACAATCCAGATGCACAACAAGATGATTAGATGGTGAGGGTTTGATTCACTTGCCTATATATATGGATGGGCAACCACACCGTTTAGAATTCATATATCCTATGTGAATTTAGATATTTGTTTGCAACTATTGGCATTTTCGACTACTTTCCCAACCATTGTTCATCTTTTCCGGTGCTTTGCATTAGCTAAAAGTAAGTGTGATTTTTAGGGAACTCCTTTTCAATTACCTTTTCCAACTTTTCATTTTACTAGAGTTTTCTACTTACATAAATGGCTTTGACCTCTGAAAAGATTGGTTCTACAAACCGTGAACCCACTGATCTAAGTGCTTTAGTTGTTGAGATGGGGCTGCTGGTCTTAGTTTCTACAGGCAGGATCAGGAAGGCTATGGGGCTCTCGTAGTGCTTGCGTAAGCTTTCATCCTTCACACTTGGCAAACTATTAGTGTATGGCCAAGCTCTAGCGATGCAGGAGGTGGCCATAGGTACTCGGATGGTCAAGTCAATACAATTGAATATATATATTATATAAAGGGATGTAACATAAGATAATAAAGAAAATGATTCATGTATCAAATTAACATTACTCTTGAATGAAGCAAACTGGGAGCTTTTATAGTAGAGGATGATGAATGTGAACCCTTAGATGAATATACAAGTGGCCTCATCCTTACGGCTAGATTCTCCCGTCGTTGTTGTTAATTAATCATTCCTAGGCCATAATGCGTTGAGTGTAATGATGGTAAAGCAGCTTTAGGTCTGCTATATAAGATTAGACTAGACTTGTTGGTTGAGTGGAGCATACTTTTGAATAAGTTGTCATATTACCCCACTTGTTATAGGATCTTTACCCAAAGATCTCCTTTTGGAAGCCT